AAGTTTTGTGCAAAAACGCATGATCGCTCCGGCTCGCCTGGTGCGTTCCAGCCTACGTTATTAATTTGCAGCACAGCTGGCATGGAAAAGCGTAGCTATGGTAGCATGGGACACCTGAAGGAAGCCGCTGAGGGACGTACCGATGCTGATCTGGAGCAGTTATTTCCTGAACGAGCGATGATTGGTCACACTGAAAAAAGTAATGGTTTGTAAAGGAAATCGAAAACACATTTGCTTAGAACTGAAGGGATGAATACGTAATCGTGAGCTCAAAATGCTTCGTAAGCTGAAATCAAAAATCGAGAGCTAATTGTGTTTTTTTGGCACTATAATACAAAAGCAAATGGAGTAAACCTAATTTTTTCTATTTGCTGGAAAAAAATTTTTGGAAATTTTAATTGATTCAACTTTCCAGCAGATAAGATGGACAGTTCTATAATCGGGCAGCCAGTAACATGGTATTCGAGTTTCAGTAATCGTTACATATCATTTATCGGGGTATGTTAAAATGCTTTCTGATCAATGTTAAATTTAGTTTCCCGTATTTGTCTCTGTTTATGGTCAAATCCCACTTTTGTTTTAAAAAATTTCAAGAAAATATTTGTTCTGTGTTTTTTTTTTTAAGTACCGGAAGATGACAGTTGCCGGAAGGAGCTATCTACATGTTTCTAAGTTCTCTTCCGGCGCTTATTTCTTTTTATTTAATTAAAACGTTTCTAACTTTGCACAAGCATTTTGCTACTTGGTAGGAGTCAATGCTGATAAGAAAAATTTAAAGTGACCCAACGAGGTATGGCACGACCATGGTTAGTGCCAGCAAGTTGCATACATAACATCCCAGCACATCTCCAATGAAGTACTGTAATTTCGATTTTGCTCGATTGTCATTGTGTGTTAAATAGAGCTGAACTGTTCATGCGAGGGGAGAGTGAAAGGAAAAAGACGAATAAAGTGCGTAGATGAATGGTACAATCCCAGTCCTAAATGTTTTTGTTGGCTTACGATGGCCGGGCAAATTTAGCATGGAGACGTTTCTGGCTAAACCAGTAGCGTGAAAGAGTGCAAAGATGTCAGTATTATGGAATCCACGTTTGGTTAAGGACAAAATGGATCAAATTTCATTATCGGTTCAAAAGAAGGCGAAAATTCTCTGTTATCTACTTCTGTTGAGATGAGTTTAAAAAATTTAGGGCAAAAGATAAAATCACGCAAAAAATCCAGTTTTTCAGGATTGCAGTTCAAATTGAAATTTTGAATTCTTGTTCACTCTGTGAGAAACCGATGATAACAATCTGGTTCACTTTTTTGCATAACAGGAAAATCATTGTCATTCAGGATCACCGTTTCATGTTTTTTTCGCTTTATTGGTCATTTCAGGCTATAACGAATATACTGATAATATTGTTTGTCAATTTTTGGTATGCAGTGCTACATCTTCTAGCTTTGGCTGCAGTGTACTATTATATTGGGCGTGTATGCCCATCGGTCTTTCCTGGTAAGCTGTTTAGGACAAGTAGCTGCAAAATCCTTTGTCTTTTTTCCTCATAACTATTACTGAAAAGCTGATTCACGCATACAAAAATTCATATGGCATAAATGTCAGAAAAATCAGCAGGCTGACCACCAGATAATGCAGCATTGGTCAAAGTAAATGAAAAAGTTAAAATTTTCAGGAATCAGCAGTTTTTCGCTGTCACATATGTTCAAAACGGCGTTTTCAAGTGTCGAAGCTCTTGGTGCAGGATCTGGTGCAAACATAATCTTTCGTCAGAGTGCTGGTTTAAATCCTGGCATGGAAACAGTTACTACGACGCTGAATGAGGAGAATCCTGATTATTCAGATCGAAAACCGTATCATCATGCTGAGCAAGCATCCACCGCTGATTTACCGCAAGATTTCGATTGATGACTGTTCCTCTACAGCTGACCG